TAAATTATATATTGATATCATATTTTGTGGGTATAGTTATGTTTAATTAGTCGTAATTCAATTTGTGTGTGAAGAAAGTATTATTCAGAGTGAGATTGAGAGGAGATGTGTCAAAACATTTATTTCCTATTTTAAACAGTGACAAATTGTGAGCAAAATAATTCATGTAATTTAGATTTCTATAATTCAAACAAAACCCTATAGACTAAAATATCTTAAATAAGATAAAGACAGTTTATAGTTAATAGTTTAGGCCTATAGCATCATATGAATTGTATGTAACACATCCAAAAAATCTGTAAGAAATAGGCCTACTTACAGTACACGGTCCCAAAATGTGTCAGAGCATGGATCTATTTTTAATGCCATTTTCTATTTTAAATTAGATTGGAGCGGTAGGAGCGGTGTGGTTTACTTATCAACTCCTACAATACATTTTTTTATTTGATTTTTTAAATTTAAAAAAAAAAATTTTTTGTTATAAATTTCACTTCACTTCATTATTTATTTGGTCATTTACAACAACAACAAAAAAAAGCTGAAATTAATTGATTTTTTTATTTTTTATTTTGATTTATTTATTTATTTTTATTTGCTTATTCAGTCATCAATTGTTACCTACCCACCTCTCTCCCGCTCATCAGCATTTTGAAGTGTAATATAGTGTAATAGACAGTGTGGGATGATTTAGCAGAATTTTTTGCTTCCCCCTAGCAGAATGTCATTTTTGCGCTGGTCACACACTGCCTAAAATTGTAATGCAAATAAAGAGGGGAATACATGTTTTGAAGGGCTGGTTCGCAAAAAATATCCCCAGCGATACCACCGTTATAATGAATTGTTTGATGCTTTCAAATCGGGTGAGATTGGAGAAGGAGGAGACATATGAGAGAGAAGATTTTACGACGGTACGTATTGCTAACTGTGCTTGTCATGAATCACCCTTGTCATAGGCCTAACTAGTAGGTATAGGCTAGTGTATTTGAATGGGTCAGTGGCAGTGAGGCAGCGGTCTAGTTAGGCCCCGTCTACCAAGCCTGGAATGGAAACGGTCGCACAGGCCTACACATGTTAAGAAAATCAGTTTGGTATAGGCCTAAGATTTGTAAATGTTGAGGTTTAATTTAAAAATTGTCCTTTGAGAAGCAAGAATATCGAAATGTATCAAGCAAGTAGGCTTACGCTAGCCTGGCTTACTAGAGGGGAGAGGGGTCTAGAGTAGGCCTAACCCAGCAGGTCTGTCTAGGCCTAGGGCCTAGCACTACCTAGGGAGTTTATTTTTGTCATCCAGTCATGACATTCATTTGTTTTTACATCAGTTTTTTTTGTCACACTGTTTTGTAATTTTTTTCATCACAGGTTGTTGCAAAATTTGGTCCCACGAAGAAGGTAGACATATCCATTCAAGTTCAATATATGTATATTTCCTTAATTCATTCTTTCAAAATACATAATGCAATAATAAACTTACCAAAGCATATCACTTGCAATGACAGCAGATGTAAAAAGAGGGTCAATAATTTCTTCATTTTCTATACACTTTTATACCTTGCCAGATGTATTTATGAATTCTCACTTTTCATATTTAGAAACTGTACTGTATTTTAGCAAAATGTGTTACTGGACAATAAAAACATGTTTTCTTTGTAAATTTGAGTCCGTTCTTGTGACTTTTTATGTGTTTGTCCTTAACCAAATGTACCAGCGAACGCTGATGGGACGGTTGGCAGAAAAAAACAATCCCTGCCTCATCAGTTTTTATACTGGGATAGGGTGATAAACTAAATTTTTTTTACGGGGCCTTATAATAGGCCTTTATTAAAAACAAAATTAAACACAAAACCCTACCTTGGATTAGTGTACATACCTCTGACACCAACTGGAGTGCGGGATATCCCTCCATGATGTTTAATTAATGAAAAAGGATTTTCAAAGATATTTCTCCGCTGGAAACCATAGGTTGCTGATTAACGCATAATTTTGGTAAATCAACTTTGACCTTTGTCATCCTCTGTTTCTACTACCTTACATTTTCTTTTTTATCTCTGGTTTTACCACTGCTGCACCTCCAGTTCCATTTCTAGCAGCAACTCGTTCAGTTTTCATGATATTCTTGAAATGATTTTTGATGGCTGACTGCCAAGAACTCTAAAATAACATTCAAAAATCTAATTCAAGAATGAAAGTTAATGTTCTCATAATTAGGAATAGAAATATGTAATTCTTATTTTAAGGCAGCGGTGGGCATACAGTAATAAAAATATAGAAAAACTTTTATTTTTTTTAATTCCTCTGAAATTTCTACTTTTGATGGCAAGTGTGCTAATTAGCCAAAAATTTCATTTTTATTCAAAATCATCATTTTAGCGAGCAGTGGGTTGCTAAAAACTTGTATAAAAAAAGGTTTAGCCTTGTGTAAATAAAATATTATAAATAATGTAAATTATAATAGGCCTTTATTATAATAAAACAAAATTAAAAACAAAAACCAATTACCTAAAAGTTAGTGAAATACAAAAAATAAATATGTAGCAAAATATATCATCAATTTTAAAAATTAATTTAAAACGTTTTAACTTTAAAGAATTTACATTTGGAAAAATATAAATTAATGAAATATAATTAAGATATAGGCCTCTGGCCTAGCAATGGCCTAATTAATATTATTATATAATTATGAAATTAGGACTACCCTTGCGCCCTACAACAGACAGTAGGCATAGGCTACGCCTAGCCCTTGGCCTGAGGGTATATTTTTTTTAGATTGTTTGTAGTAACCTAGGGCATCTAGCCTAGGCCTGCTAGAGTATAGTAGAACTACCTAGGCCTAGCCTAGGAGTAGGCCTAGTACCCCTAGCCAGTACAGGCCTAGGGGGCCTAGGCCCTAGGCCATACTTAATACGATAGTACTACTGCAAAGATTTTTTAATTGCGCAGAGGCTAGAGCCTAGGATAGGCATAGGCCGAGTATCTCAAAAATCAGCTCAAATTGCGATGAAAATCGCTAGAAAATAGGTGCGCGGAATCGTAAATTGCTGCATAATTAAAAATAATTGCATCGTTTTAGGGGGATATGACCGGTTGAGCCGCCGACAAGTTGACCCGCCGGTAATTTCTATGGAACGCCAAGCGCGTCTCTCAGTGAATGTAGTGCGTCTCTCAGTGAATGTAGTCGGCTTGCCGATGTCATCAGTGAATGAACCCCCCGGATACCAGCTACATATTCATCCCACAGTCTTGTCAGTCGTTGATTTGCTCATATTGCCGTTCGTGATGTATAATTGTGTAATTGAAAATTAGAATTTTAATATATTCATGTACTACATTTTTATAAAAATATATGAAGTTGTATAATTGCAAAATCGTATGAAAAATGTGTTTATTTACGTTTGGCTTGCGGCGTATTTCAATTAACTTATTCGTTATTTGTACTATTTTGTTAAATTATTTAATTAAATTACTTATTATATATAAGTCTAACAAATAGTACAAAAATAAAAATACAGTATATAAATTATAAAACCATAGTAAATACTGTATAATAACATAGGCCTAACACATTTAAATTTATTATTTATTATTCATGCAAAATCGTATTAAAATGTAATAACTTGATTATTTTTTACATTTTGTTTGCAGCGTATTTCAATTAACTTATTCGTTATTTGTACTATTTTGTTAAATTATTTAATTAAATTATATTTATTATATACCATTATATATAATAAATGATAAGAATGTATGGAGTTTTTTTTTTTTACCTATCTGGCAAGCCGACTGAATTAGACAGATGACTATAAACAATAAATTTAAATGTGTTAGGCCTATGTTAATATACAGTATTTACTATGGTTTTGTAATTTATATACTTTTTATTTTTGTACTATTTGTTAAACTTATATATAATAAATGATAAGTATGTATAGAGTTTTTTTTTTACTATATGGCAAGCTGACTGAGCAAATACTCACAAAATTTAAATTAAAACGATAGAAAGAACAAGTAAATAAATTGAAATACATCCCAAAAATATTTAATAAATCAGTGCAAAAACCGAGTATTAAAGCCCCATTCCCGGCAAAATTTCAATTTTTAAGAAAAATCTAATTTTTGTATAATGTTATAAAGATTTATAAATATAATACGGAATTGCTAGTTTAACTGAATTTAGACATTCCTAAGAATGAAAAAAAAAAATGTAAAATAAGACTGAAATTTGATTTTTTGTGTTCCACACAAAAAATAAATGCGGATGAATTTTTCATGTTGATTTTGCGATAGGTCGTGAGAAGAAATATCGTAGGCGCCGAAAACATTAGCCTATCCAACGCTGCAGGCTAGGCCTAGCCTTACCTCAATTTTAGGTTCTGTTATCACACATAAAAACGGCCGACATGATATTTTCCGTTGCTAGTATTGACACTTGTGAAATATAATATTTCATAGGAATTATTTCAAATTTGTTAAAAAAAAAAAAAAAACTGATTCTGACTGAGAGCCAATATTTTTCCATGATTTATAATAATTGGAGTAATGCAAATGCATATTTTCTAAAAAAAGTCATTTTTAGTGAAATTTTGCCGGGAATGGGGCTTTAAATAAATTGAAATAATTGAGTAAATAAACTGAAATACATCCCAAACAACAGTGTCAGTACAGTACCAAGAACGAATAAGTTAATTGAAATACGCCGCAATTAACGCACTACATTCACTGAGAGACGTGCTTGGCGTTCCATAGAAATGACCGGCGGCTCAACTTGTCGGCGGCTCAACCGGTCATAATCCGTTTTTATACTTTTATTTTTACTATTTTAGGCTCATTGGTTAGGAACTCAGGCCAAGCCTACTATATACTAGGCTATATTAATTATATTATTAGGCCTAGTAGGCTATAGGGCCTAGGTTTGGTCAAAAGCCTAATTTTTGGCAAAATCTGCACGGAACTCATTTTTCGAAATGCGCCGACGGATTTCTTCTAGGCCTAGGCCCTATGCCACATTTTTGCGCGGCGGATATAGGCAATTCTCCGCACAGGCCACTACTACTATACTACGGTACTAGTAGGCTAGGCTACAACAACAGTCTGGCATAGCTAGCTGGGCCTAGGCCAGGCCCCTTTCTACACAGAATGTTGCCCTAAATCAGAGTAAAATAATTTAACGTGAATATTCAGAAGAATACTATGTTATTGTACATACCTTCAAACACATTCCAATAAAAAACGAAAAAAATCAATTAAACTCTTCATTTTCTTTCAACATCGAGACACAGAAAATGGTGAAACTAAACTTTTTTCTTCGAATAACGCGGGCTCTCCCATAATGCTTTGTGATAGGATCAATTTAACTCTCTGATAGATGGGTTATTTTAACTCTGCCATTATGCATTGCGATAGGATCAACTTTGCTCTCTGTGGATGGGTTAATTTAACTCTGCTATAATTCATGCGATAGGATCAATTTGACTCTCTGTGGATGGGTTATTTTAACTCTGCTTGTTTTACTCTAAACATGAAGTTAAATTAACTCCAACAACCCAAATACTGGAGTAAAAATTACTCCAACATTATAACCTTGTATAAGTTTGGAGTGAAATGAGAGTAAACTTAAGGTTTACTCCCCTAAGGAGTTACTTTAATACCATTTAAGGAGTTAAAATAACTCCCAAAAAATAACTCCCCCTTTGGGGGTTATAACTACCCCACAGGGGGAGTTAAAATAACTCCTCAGAATTAACAGTGCATTATATTGTTAGCCGTAGCTCGAGCGTTGTTTTTAACCCATGCTATTCTGTGTATTTGGCGGGTCGTAGAACTCACTGGTGATAACTTATATTGGTTGCTTATATTGCTAAACGTTTTGTTGATCATCGAAGGCGTTGTTACAGTTGTACTTGACAAGAAAAAGTTTCAATGGGAATTGTAAGTAGGCCTATCTGTTTTATAAAATCTTTTGTTTAAATTTATCAACATTGTTTCAAGGTGGCAAACACAGACAGGCATGACTTTGTAGACAGTTGCAGAATCTTCAACAAGAAGAAAGCGACAACTTAATGGACGAGGAAGGCCAATCTAAAAATAATGAATCATTCTTTTCGACCTTCCATCTCCTGTCCTGCCCACTTGCATAACATTTGGTGATGTTATGCTAAATTGAATGCACATGGGCCAAAGTTGTAATATTGAATTTAGAGTTTGGTTAGTTTGGTAGACTTTCCACCAATAATATGCATTATTATTACGTTATGTTAGAATTTTAATATAGTGTCATTTAATCGACAATGGTGTAGTTATCAGTGACGCTGTGCATGTTCTAAAAAAGTGAAATCTAAAATAAAATGATTTATGGACAAGGCCAAAAAATATTACTTAATCCAATTTTTATTGGAGTGGGTATTTAGCATAAATTTCTTGATTAGTGAAACAAATCGGACTTTCTAAACTTTAGTTACCATTTTAACTAGCCTAAAGTACCTGCTTAGTGAAATATTAATTATGCAAATGAAAAATCAGAATATTCACACATGTACCGGTACCAAAAATCAATAGGCTCCGTTTTCTTATTACCATCTTGCATTGTGGAAAGTTTGAATCCAATCAGACTTAACAAACTTTAGTTATTGTGGTAACTAGCCAAAATTACCTGATTAGTGAAATATTAATTATAAAAATGAACAATTAGCATATTCATACACACGTGCCAAAAACAATAGGCTCCGTCTTCTCATTACCATCTTGCATTCTGCCAAGTTTGAAAACCAATCGGACTTACCAAACTTTAGTTATCGTGGTAACAAACAAATTACCAACAAAGACGACAACATGAAGAACTTAGGAAATAAGAATAGCCTCCCCTTTTGGGAAGTTAATTAAACAAATCACCAGTAATGTTGTTAGTCTATGAGTGAGATACTTAACCTGGGTAAACAGATAAATGCAAGTTTCCTTTCAGGAACTTACCTCGAAGATAATGGAATCGTTCGACCCAAGCCGAATTGCAACGATGTCATGGGCATGGACGATTTCACCATTTTCGAGATAAGTTCCTCCTCCATAAAACTGGCATATAGCGTTTCATTCAGTTAAGTTATTCACGAAATAGACGCGAAAAATTCCTTTGGCTGAAGTAGGCAGAACTTATATGGCCAATCCCATAACCCACGAAAGCCCAAACACAAATCTCCATTGGGGTCCTTCTGGTGGTGATTGGGCACACCAGGAGAAAATCCCCTACTGTTCTCCGAAAAAAAGTGTTAGCTTGCAAATGGGCATTATTTTGCACAGAACAAACGGCTTAAATGTCTCAAATAGTTCCTTGATCAGCCACTGAAAGGAGTTCCACTGATTTCATTAACACACTTTTGCAATACTTGCTACGTAGAAGTGAATGAACTACAGTATTAAAGAAAATATCACAAAATTTCCATTGATTTTAATGACTTCAGAATCCTGTACTGTATATCTATGTATATCTTACCGATTTTCACCCTGTATTTTCATCTACGTGATAACAGTTATTACTTGTATTTGGCTCTTGGAATTTAACCTATATTTCAAACGAGAAACTGATATCTACTAACCTTAAGAAAAATTCGCTAAGGAAGCTACTTAGAGATTGCTGTACTAAAACTGTATTTACACGTAATAATGAATTCTATAAACAAACTGATGGTGTCTCAATGGGTTCGCCTCTTGGCCCAGTTTTAGCTAATATTTTAATGACTGAACTAGAAGAGTCTATTGTTCCTAAACTTATTGAATCAGGTACTATTAAGTTTTATACTCGTTTTGTTGACGACACGCTACTATTAGCTAAGCCCAATGATTTCCCGCAAATTCTAAGCTACTTCAATGCTTTTCATAGACAGATAAATTTTACTTTTGAATCATTTGAAAACAGTGACACAGTACACTTTCTGGATTTACAATTTAACAACAGTGTAGGAAGCTGTCTCTTATACACATCTAGATGTGTATAAGAGACAGGACTACACCCTTTGCTTAACAATGGGCTCAGAGCTTCAAATGGAACCATAAGATCTCCTGGATTCGTAGTCTAGTTTCTAGAGCCCACAGATTGTGTACTCCTGATAAACTTCAAACAGAGCTTAGTAACATCAGAAAGTTTATGTCTTGGAATGGGTACCCTTTAAACGTTGTTAATAATGTACTTAAGAAATTAAATGAACCTAAATGTATACATAGGCCTACTGATGATAGCTTGATTAAGATTTGGGTTAGATTGCCTTATCTAGGAAAACCAGGTGAGTTCATTTTACGTA